ATTTAATCCTGTTACTTAGGAAGGTGATTTAGGACAGGCTCAACAGGCATAGTCTTTTCAGAACAATTGGTATGACCTGTCAAAAGCAGTGAAACTTGCTGAGCTCTTGACCATGCAGGGATGATGTGACAGCAGAGGCAGATGCAGGATTCTGCAAAGACTTGTCCATGACATTGCAACTTGCTGGAGAAGTTCTTAAAATTCGTGGGAACCTTCTGTCCATCATTCTTGCTGAGAGCACTGTTATCAGGGTATTTGATAGGTTGCTGACATGCAATTGAGTTTTTTGCTGCTGGAGATACTGTGGAAGCAATGAGAATGGAACAAGCACAGCCTGGGATTAGAAATGGTCCAGGTGTGGCTGTAAAGTTCTCCATAGTGGACTGTAATTTACAGGCATTCTTCAAGGCTTTTTCTGCTTTCTTGCAATATGGCAGCGTTTCCCCAGTAGCCTCAAAGAAACCTCCAAAAGGCGCTGCCAGTGCGGGGGGTGTTGCCTGCTGTCAGGGAGCTGACATCCAGTGGTGGTATGCTAAGGGGGAAGGCAGGGAGCTCTGGGAAACAGAGCTGTGCACATGCGGAAGCATGTAAAACTGAGGCTTCCTCTTGGTGCGGCTGAGCAGTGCAGACATGCCTGAGGATGCTTTCACCTCTCTGTCCCAGCTCAAAGTTCTTCATGAATGGTCCTTAGGTCCATTCCTGCTGATGTTCCCCCTTAGCATGAGTGGTCTCTTGCTATCCAGAATTTTGGCTGACTCTTGCTCCCTGAAGACTCATGCTTGAGTGCCCATCCTGTTCTGCTTTTTCTCAAGCACTCTTTTCCCAGGTCTCCTCCAAGGAGTGAGTCTGTCTTAACAGCATCTGTCCTCTCAGGGAGTCTGAAAAATACCAGACTGGAATTTGCCATTTAATTATCTGCTCCTTTGAGTGCTTCCTCCGTGTTAGACATTTTCAAAAAAAGTGTTTGACCTAAAGTGTGAATGCTTCAGGAGGCATGGTTTCACACTGGTTCTTTGTGCTCAGGCTGACCCATTCCTTGTCACAGCAGCTGTGGACAATGTTATCCTTACCACTGGACAGAGCCCAGCTCTCCTGTCAGCTCAGCTGAAAATGGCGGTGAGATAGCAAGAGTTTGATACTCTTCAGTTAAAGCTTTCTGACATTGTAGGTATGTGTTGTGGTTTGGGACAACTTAGGAGGAGATGTTCACCCCAAGACAGGATGAAAGGAGAAAAAAGGCCCCAAGATAAAACCAGTTTGTCCCTAAAAAAGGTCCCAACCAGAACCTCAGTGAAAGTCAAAAGAGGATGTTTTGGTGCTTTTCTGCTGTGGAGAAAGGAGAACCATTTTCTTTAGCTTTTTATGTCTCACTATGCCTATCTAAAAACCACTGGGATTTTTGGAGGGTAATTTGAGGGGAGTTTATGAGTTGAAATGAAATTCATCCAGAGAGAGAAACTGTGCTTCAGGAAAGGCAGCACCCAGCTCACATCAGGAGCTAAAGACACCTCTCAAGAGTGAATTGTGGGAACAGTTTCTCCTTGCAGATCCTGACCCGCTGCTTCATTTGTACATCCAGACAGGAGAGCAGAGGCAATGTGTATGCTTCGTTCTGGGCTTACTTATCTGTCCTTGGCAGCTCCTGCTGGAGTAGCAGGAACCCTGTGGTCTTAGCATCCTGCTGCTGTTCAGTTCAGTGCTGAGACACAGATTCAGCAACTTCATTCCTGTGCTGGTCTGAAATCACCACGAGCACCATGGGCTTATCCTGAAGAATCTCTCTGCTCCCCAAGCGTGAAACAGAAGGCCAGCAAGGTGGGACCTCTGTTGACCCGTGCCAGTGCCTTGTGTGATGTCAATAGGAACTGGTCCAGTGTGTTGGCAGGAGGTCTGAGGGGTGAGGACTGCCAAGTGCAAACTAATGCAGCTTCATAAATGTTATATAAAATTCACTGAGAGGCAAATGTAGCCTTCTAACTCCTGACCAAGAGCTATGACCTAGATAAGTAGGCTTCATCAAACATATTCAAACAGGCAGAAGGCACTGCAAGAGTGATGCACAAATGGGTAGGAGCTTGCTGCCTCTCTGCCCAGAGCATCACTGGACTGAAAAATATGTATATGGCTCATGAGAAATGTATGTACAGCTGGGCTGATTTAAGGGGATTGGTGCTCTAAGCGTCACCTTCTCCAGCAGTGACAAAGATGAGATGCATCAAAGGTGGTAGTTAAAGCCCTCTGAGGGAAGCAATTATGAAATGAGCTGACCTGGATGCAGATTTCTTTGCCCTTGAGCTGAGAGAGAAGGCTAAAGCAGGAGTTTTATATCCCTTTCAATCTTGCTCGTATTTAATCTTTGCTAATGCATCTTGAAAGCACCATGAATGTTTGTCCAGCCCATTTCTGGGCTCCTGGTTTCAGGGCCTTTTGACTTCTGCAAGGCTTGGGTGTTAAATTGAAAGAAGGAAAGGAGAGCCTCTTGTTGTCTCTTGATTTGGACGTTAGTAAAGCAATAGTCTTAAAAACTAGCTCTGACCTCAGAGCATCCTCATTCTTTCCTGCTCTTGCATTCTTTTTTAATATTTCTTGTTTGGATGAAATATGATAAACTTATCCTTAATCCTGGATCTGAACTTTCTGTATACATCCTTTTAGTGCTCTGACAACCTAAATAGATGTTAAATACAGCTGTTCCCCTACACATGGCTGTATCTGTAATTCTCATCAGCAGTGTTTAGCACTTCTGAAAATCAAGTTACCCTTTTCAGATGCAAAGACTAAGAGTTTGCAGCCTCTCTTTAGGCTTCTAACTCTGATAAATGATGCCCTATCACTGAAACCTCATTAGACAATTTACTTGTGCCTGTTACTGGGTGATGCAAAGGGTCCTGTGAGCTGTAGTTTTCTTCTTTGCTTTACAATAAGGTACAGGCAAATAGAGATTCTTGGAACATGTGTTTGCTGGCAGGGATGCTTAGTGCAGCAGATGTCTGTGAAATCTCAGAGAGCAAGGGTGAGGGATGGAGAAGCTGTGTCCCAGAGGGGTATAGATCAGAAATTCTTTGCTACTCAGGAACTGAACTGTTATGTTCATTTTATTTTCCATTTCATTTATCTGTCACTGGGATTTGGCACCAGCTAGTTGTTAGCCATCCCATCCCTTCACATTCATCTGAGTAGGCTGAATTTTTGTCTGGCTCTATGAGCTACTCCTGTCTAAGCTGTTGCAGACAAAGAGCCTTCTCCTGTATGCTCTGGCTCCAGCTATTCCTTTTCTAGCCCTTCTTGCCTCCCTGCCAGTGAATGAATGCAGCCCTGTAAAGGCAGGACAGACATGCGGATTTCTTCCAAGCTTGTTTTGTCATGCTTGTGATAGGTATCTTTGTGCTAGAAAGCCCTTTATCGGTTCCATCACATCTTTACCAAAGGATTGGGTAGGCTGTGTTAGTATGTGCATCAGTGTACTGGAAGCCCTAGTGCTGAGTAGTTGGATTAGTTAATGGTGAATAAGTTAGTCCAAGACGCCCCGGTGTAACATCTGCTGTCGACTTAGAGCAGAGTGGTGTTGGACTAAATCTTGCAGAACTGGCACAGTGCAGAAAGATAGGAGAAGAAATGGGTGTAAAAGGCCAGGAGAACCTGGAGCAAAACAGTTCTCGGGCATGGGGCAAGACTGCTATTCGTCAATATTCTCTTGGAAGAAAATGTAATTGTTGGACAGATGGCCTAGGAGGAATATATGTATTTTGTGATTCCATCCATCTCTGATTAATAGCCATGACTATGTGTTCCTGTGAATTATGTATCCCTGGTACTTTGAATTTCTGTTTGTATCTTATGCTTATCCTGAGGTATTTGGTAGAAATGCATAAAAGTTATTGTTGTCTTGGGGGACAGAATGTTCCACTTTGTTTTTGAAAGAGTGTTTTTGTAAGCTAATGCTTTCACCAATGTAAACCATGCCATGGCTTGCTATGATACAGCAACTGACTGCCTCATCTGACTATGAAGTTTACTGAAGAATTTGTAGAATTAATGATTTAATTTATCTGTCACTTCAAGCAGAAGAATTATGGGCTCCATCTTGTCCAGCTGGGAAGAAAACTAGTGCTGACTCTCTAGATAGTTTTTGCAGAACAGTTTGTTGCTGATGTGTGCTTTATCTTAAAGATTTGTTTTGTCCCTACCTGTTCAGAAAAGTATTTTGGTCTTAATCCTGTAGCCTTTCTCTCTTCTGAGAAACTGGACCTTTACTTGGTCAAAGTGTGTCTTACAAGAAGGGAGCGGTGGGAAGGTGCTGGTGGCACCAGGCCTGGGTAGAACGAGTTGCTCAATCCATCTGTCCATTCACTCCTCCAGGTGTTCCCCTGCTCACTGGGCTCACCACCCTGTATCCCCTCCCTGCCTCCTGGCCAGATAAGCAGGTTTGACTTGTGTGGTATGGTTGTAAAACTGAGTTGGGGTCTTGTCCTGATATAGACAGTGGTGGCCATGCATCGGCTGCCCAACAGGGATCATTAGACAGTACTCCTACATATTTGCATATCTTATCCTGCTTCCCTTTTTTAATAATCCTTGTTGTAGTCCTTGCTTCTCACTTTCTACCCCACTCTCATTTCAAAGAAACAGCCTGCCCCATTTATGTTTTCCCATGGGTCCCAGTTTTATGACATACATACTCAAATTTGCTATTTCTGATACTATTCCCTTGATATTTTTAACCCTAACTGGTATTATTGAGATAGTTGGCCTGTGCTGCTGGCCTTTCAGTGGGTAAAGAGTGGTTCGATGTTCTAACATCTCTAAAAGATCTTTGTTCCTAATACTGAAATTTTTGGGTTCAATGACAGAGAGGTGAGCTTTTCAAAAGTGCTCTGAGTTGGCCCATGTCTGCTCTGGATGATCTTAGTGGTGACATTAAAAATGCCTGAAGGGATTTCATGTTCCTTCTGCTGTTTTTTCACTAAAAGGTAGATAAACTTTGTTTATTTTGACTCTAGGCAGAAGCACTTGTCTGGGATAATGACGTATCAGCTCATGCCCAGAATGTTGCCAAGGCCAAATATGAATTTTTATTTGGCTTGGAAGAAGAGAAGCCTTCAGGAATGGGTAAGTGCTATTTATTACTCTTTTGTGCAAAAAAAAAAAAACCAACAAAAAAAACCCCAACTCTTAAGCTACTCAGGAAAGTTTTGCAGAAGCTGCTCCTTTAATGACCCTTTGAGAGCTCACTCGCTGTGCTGTGCTGCCCTTCACAAGTACCAGACCCTAGGATCCCGCTGGTTTGGCCCCAGAAAATGACAATGGTCCCCTGTCTTATAACCCTGCCTTCCTTTCTGGCTCATGTGGGCCACCATGATGTGACAGCAGGGACTCATGCTCGAGATGCATTGGTGGACGGAGTCCCTGCACTTCTCTGCAGTGGAGTTGTTCAGCCACAAGTTCTGCAATTGCACGTGCTGAAACATTGCTATTTCTGCCTGGAGCTCCTTCCAAAAATGTGATTTGTGGTCTTTCTACAGGTAGAAGTAGGTAAGATTTTAATTTAGATACTTGAGGTGGTGCCCGAACTGCTCTGCCCTCTGTAGTCAATAATTCCAGAAGTCCAGGTGCAATATCTAATGTTGTGCTGAAGGATCTGTCTTGTTCCTGTTGTCTTGTAAATACAGGGCATTTTCTATGTTTTAAGAGCCCAAGCTTAGAAGAAAATAAATGCAGTTATTATAACTATTCCCCTTGCCTCTTCAAAATTATCAACAAGCCCTGCCCTCTTTGGAAAAGCATTTCCTCAGGCAGTTCTCTTTATACCTTGATCCTTTCTAATTACAAACTTTCTGGAATGTCAATTACAGAAGACTCCCTTCTTGCCAGAAAAGGGCAGCACTTTGTTAAAAAATAAACTGTGTGGGCTCCTCAACTTCAGTAAGAAAAGGAAAAAAAGAGAATAATAATAGTAATAATAACAACAATAATAATAGTAATAATAATAAGCAGAACTTGAGTTTATTCCTGGATTTTATAAAGTTTGGTCATCCACTTGGGAAGTCCTAATTGCAAAGTGGAAAAAATCCAAACTTCCAAAAAGGGAAAAAACCCTCAAAAAAGCCCAAACCAAAAGGACCTCACATAGGAATTTTAAAAACTCTTCCAAATTGCCACAAAATATGTATCAGTTTATTACATGAATCATGATGACCTCATTTCTTGCTTGGAAAGACACAGTATGAGAGCAATGTCAGCAGGCATTGGTACAAATCCAGAGATTAGTATTAAATAAAGTATACTGTGTCTAATAAATCCAAGTGAATCTATTGTTATTATCAGCCAAAACAGTTATCAAATATCTTAGTTATTCTTAGCTAAGTACTGAGCTCTAAAATAAAGAGTGGAAAAGAGTAAGCCAGATATATGGACTTATATGCCTCATTGTCTGTATTTTTCCTGTGCTGCTTCTTGCTTTGTTTCTGGATGTCCTCGTGTTCTTTTATTAATGAGAGACTACAATTAGGGGCTAACAATTAGCAAAATGGGAGTGATTTCAAGGGACCCTCACAGGAGGGTTTGTGAATATTTAACTGTGGTTAACATACAACATTTGTGAATTGTACTCAAAAACTGGGTGACATTTTACCTAGCCAGACTGACCTCATGCTGTCACAGACAAATGCATCCTCCTCCTCCTCCTTCTCTTCCAAGTTGTTTGACCATCCTAGATAAATGAGAGTGATTCTGCCCCTTCTAGTTTTTCTTCAAGCGAGCAGGTTTTAACTGTTTATTAACGAAGGTGAATGAGGTCAGGGTGACTGAGGGGACAGTAGTACAAACTCAGGACTTTTTTGCACCAAATCATGTGGTTTTTTTTATTTGATATATGCCAAATATGTCATGACATATGCCTTTGGGGGAAGCAGCTATACTTGAAAGTCTTTCTGTTCTTCTCTGTGTTAGATGGGAAGGGAGAAAACACCACCAGAAATCCAAATAAACATGCTACTTTCAGAAGTTTCCTTTAAAAGAAAGAAGACATGCTTTTTAGGGGTCAAAGTATGAAATATTTCAAGCAAATGAGTGATAGGGGCAGGGCCAGGAGAAATGCTGGTGTTTAAACTTGATCAAGAAAACAACTTGTCACTGTGGACAGTTAGGCTGAACTGTAATTTATCTAACCTAAAGCAGTCGACCCGTGCCATGGCTGGCCTCAAAAACAGAACATAGCATGTAAGCTGCTGAACGGCTTAATTGCTGCTGCGTTCTGGTTTATCCTTTCCCTTTAGGCCACAGCCGTGTTACTGTAGCCCTGCTGATGCTGCTGAGGATATACATGTCTTGATTGAGTACTAAAACCCTTGCATCAGACAAGGCAATTCACAAAGAAGGAACAATAATTGGGGTGACTGTGGCAAGCACTTATGTTTACCAGGTGGAAGGTGGCAGCTTTTGTTAATAAGCTCCTGTGTTGATTTTTACCTTCCAGGTTGAAGCTGCTGATCATTTTCAGATGAGAGGGGGGAAAATAAAAAAAATAGATGGCTTTAAAAGAGGTGTTTCAGCAGTGATATTCAAATGCTAATAAAGCTGTCACATGTAAAACATTTTCTCTTCTTTGCTGTCTTAATTCTGGATTTTTCTGGGATATTTGTGATCACTGATGCCCTAATGTGCTCTTGTCTTTAATGCATGATGCCTCTTGTCTGGGTCCTCTCCTCTCTTGTCCGTTGCCCATCCTCCTGCCCTGGATGCATTAGTCGGAGCAGAAGCAGGTCCAAGCCCCCGGAACCCTCCTGCTGTGGAAGGGTTAAAGACCACACATCTCCCTGTAGACCCTCCCACTGGAGAAGCTGGGAGGACGCATCACACTTGTCCACGTGGCCCTGTGCTGCCTGGCCACCTTCCTTGGCGAAACCCCAGCCTTCTGCCTTCCAGCAAAAGAAAATGTTTTTTAGAAACTGAATTTAGCTGGGTTGGACAAGACCTCTTCTCAGACTCACTTACATAAAAGGCCGCTTGTTGTATGTGGAAACATACATTCCTCCTCTGGAAACTGCTGTGGAAACAGTGATCTCTATTGAGCAGACTTTTCTTCGGGCTTGGCTGTGTTACAGGCCTGATTTTTATGACTTTGCCGTTAATACATTTAAATACCAAAAAGAAAAAAAAAGTCACGGCCGTGTGACTTAGTCCTAAAAGTGCTTCCTTGGGGAAAAAAGGGGGGATACTACAAAGTAATTCCTTAAATAAACATGAAGGCCAAATACCCCCTAATTCCTGTTATATGAGAAAATAAATCCAAGACCGGTGTTAGGAAGAAAATAGCTTCTTAAGATTAATAAACAGTCTTTTCTCTCATGCTTCTGAGAGGAGAAAGCTTTCATCCCTCCTGTATACCAGAGGTTTAATCTCATCCTTCACAAAAAAGCCCTGTACAAATACTGCCTGTGTTGCTATGCAAATCTGGTCTTTCCCAACAGCTGCTGGAAGAAGCTTGGTTTTGAATTGCTGGTGAAACAAATAGCTTTTTGGAAAGCCTGTCACTTGCTGTTTTGTGTTCAGTGAGGTGTCATGAGGGAACTGAGCTCATTTAACATCTTGGTTCTGCCAAAAGCGATGGTCCCAGACACATGCTGCCACGGATTGTCTCATTGTAGTTCTTGTGCTCATCTGTGTGCTTAGCAAGCTCAAGCCAGCAAAAACTGAGTAACAACCCCCCCCAAAATAACGCCAAAAGAACAATTCTTTAAAAAGGGCTTATTTTCTCCTGGCGATGTGTGCTGAATCACCTTTGCAAGGGGTCAAACAATGCCAGCTCTAACACGTGAAAGAAAATCAAACACATACTTTGACCCATGCAACATACCCATTTCTGAACTGCAATCATACAAATGATTGCTTTTGCTTTAGAATTTCTAGAACTTCTTTCAAGAGCAAAGGAAGAACACAATGGCTGCTATTTTGTAAAAGTGAAGCCTTTTCAGGGTTCTATGCTGCTGATGTAAACAGCTTTAAGAAAATTATCTCGGTATCTTTGTGTAAAATGAGCATTACTGACATACTAGGTTGTGCTTAATCTTCTGCCTCACTTGTTTGGTCTGATATTTCAAGGCACGCATGCCCAGCTCTGCTGCATCCTCCTCACATTGCATGGAAGTGACACCTTCTGGATCCTCACCGCAGGAACTGCCCTTAGACCACAGGCACTCAATTGCATTGTTCTTATGATAGCCGAGACTGCCGACTGTAGTCTTGCCCAATGCTCCAACCTTATTGTTTTCCATTTTGAGGCACCACCCTTTGCCATATTTTCATCTCTTGTTCTTTCCATCTCCAGGCAGTCCTGAAAGTCTGGGCTCCCTGGTCTGGTATCTCCCTCTGTAGTTCTCCTTTCCTTAAAAGTTGCAAAACTGCATTTTCTGAGGGTTGGAGGACTGCCTGAAATTCTTACCTGGATTTTGCTTAATTATGGTGAAGGTTTGGCACATCAGACGTGCTGCAGTGTTTACCAGGAGCACACACAAAGCTGGAATACAGAATGCTCATAGCTGTGGTACCCCTCTCCCCCATAGTTAAAATTCCATCATCCTGTTGTGCATATTTGACTTTATCAGCTTCTTGTTGTTATTGTTTCTAGTGTCCTACTGCATTTTCTGGCATACAGAAGACATGCAGGAGTTTTTAAATCACAATGTGTAATCCATAGTTTTCTCATAAATATCCCTGATGTTTGGCATTGCTGATTTGCAATGATTTAAAAAGAAGGTTAACTATTGAAATTTAAGTATCCAGAGGTACTGTATTAGAAGGTACTTTTCCAGTGGAGTTTGTGCACTATAGGAAGTGATTACCTCTTTGGCACCAGCATGTTTGCTGGCCATGCTGAGTGCTCCTTTTTCACTCCAATATGGAGTAAAGCAAGTAATTTTGGATGTTCTGAAGAGCAGCAAGCTCTTGCAGTGCTGTCAGAAGAGAATTGTGCATATGGAAAAATAAATGCTGGTGCAGGAGGACAGGTTTCATTGTGCTCTGCATCTTGGCTGCAGAGATGGAGAGGTGGAGCTGTCTTGCTATTTCTCTTGAATTTCTGAGAATTCCGCTTCCTGGGGTTGGGAGAAGCT